TCATCTCTCCTTCACTGGCCAGTCGATGGTTTCACTCTGATAAAACTATATACCAGTCTAGAAGATCTAAATTAAGATTGCTACGGGGCGTTGCATATGACTTAAACTGATACGCAGTGACAATGAAATCGAACACACAGTAAAGATGATTTTATCTGACTGAAAATATATAGGTACGGTTGGACATGAGTAAGAAAAATTCATGAAGTTCTGAGGTAAAAACATTTGCTCTGTCGCTGTAGATTTTTCTAGTAATGTATTGGAACATTCTTTTGACTAGATAATATTTGTATTGTCTTGAGGTATCTCATGCCAGGCTCGGGTGTACTTAGATCAGAAGACCTGCAAGCGGTTGTGGAGGATAAGGTGAAGAGGTCGTTCTTCTTCAAATCGTATCCTACAAACGTCCAATGGCCCAAAAGTCTGGATGTCGAAGGCCACAAAAGGAGGCTAAGTTGAGCGCTATTAAAATACACCCTTGTAGCTCTAGCAATATGGGGATGGACATAACATTTTTGCAAGAGAGGACAAAAATGAGTTTTCAGTGTTTCCTGGGTATACCGTTTTACCGTCATACCAGCGCTAATGAAATCTAATGGTAACTTAACCGAAAAGTTTACAGTACGTTTTTCTCCGCGACTTCTGACTCGTGAATGTGAATACTTGAGACTGCAAACGAATACCTGCACCTGATGTTGATCTGACAACTTTACATTACGTTTTTCGTCTGTCATGCATTTCTAAACAGACCTGAGATTCATCATTTAAAACTATCCATCATCTCAATTACATTACATATGGGCTAAGTCAGCTCTAATATTTATTAGAGGATGTGAATACTTGAGACCGCAAACGAATACCTGCACCTGATGTTGAACTGACAACTTTACATTACGCTTTTCGTCTGTCATGCATTTCTAAACAGAACTGAGACTCACCACTAAAAACAATGCTATAGCATCCATCATCCCAATTTCTCGGTCTCGCCATTACCTAAGGTGCTAGTAATAGTAATAGTGAGGAGGCGAATCCTGGCAAGTAAGGTACCTTTGACCCGTTTTGTCAACCCCGTAGTACCAACACTCTACTACTCCACAAGCCATCTACTGCTCGTATTATATAGAATTGAATAATTCGCACCTGGCGAATTTGCTACCGCAGAAGCGCTTATCTGCGCTATATACAGGGTGACTTTGAAGTTGAGTCATTAATTTTCAGATAATGATTGTAGAAGGAAGATAAACCAAAATATGTGTGTAAAAAAAAAAAAAAATAAAAAAAATGTTACCTTGTTTAATAAATAAGTATCCCCGACAAGTACTTCAGTGCGGACCTGTATTTGATCGTGCGGTCTTGGAGAAGCATGCCCTCACCTGTGAGGTCTTAAGTCACCTGATTCACGAGCCCTTTGTACTACATTAACAAAGGCACGAGGGGTTGGTTGCACTCGATTGGGAAACCGATTCGCGTAAATCCGTGATGCATCCGGGAGCATTTTGTAAAGACTGCCCCCCCGTAAATAAGAATCATGTCCACAAGTTCAGCATTTTCGTAAACATGTGCCATTTTTGATTTCGTTTGAACCACGCAACACACTACTATTCACTTACGCGTTATCGACTGACGAAAAACATCGTGATAAACGTTTCAAATTCTTTCGCTTTTTGTTTCCGATGCGATGAACCGGTCAGGCGGATTATATCCGTTGTCGCCAAACACAGCATATAATAGGCAGGGCTGTACTCAAACTTCCAAAGGGCTATAACTTTGTTACTTTAATTTTACCAGAAAAATGGTAAAGGAAAAAAACATTTCTTTTGATCAGATCTACTCACTGTTAAAATAAATGACTCAACTTCGAAGTCACCCTGTATATCCAGTTTTCATTGCGAAAATACTTTTTTGTCCATTAGTACATTTAACTGTTGTCAGGTCTTGTCAGGCTGGCCCATATATTTTCTTTACGTTATGCTATTATGTTGCCATTATTGATCTAATCCGCCAAGCCATAATTTTCCTAACGTCTACGGATTTCTAAATAAATTAAAAGGCAAAACCTCTATCATAACTATGCCAAGTATCTATGTCTCCTAAGATTATATGTTGAGAATATTGCATCATTGGGTCTTCTGACAAAAAAAAACGCAGTAAATTAACCGTGTCGTGATTCCATATATGCGACCAACAAACGCAATAAAAAGAAAAACATTCATTCAATTTGCGTACCCAAGAAGAAAGCGTAAAAGTTAGTCAAATGTGTTTAATAGCTCCCAGCAGACTAGAGTGAACTTTTGTAAGGTGGGGTGACAAGGCGGATATGTGGAGTGATATTCATCATAGAGACGTGCAATCATCGAGTGCAGTGGTGGGAAAAGGAGCTGAAGGAGACATAAAATTTGTTCATTTCTAAACTGAGTGAGTTCACACATGCAAATGCCATCTTGTTTCGGATCAATCTGCAGAAGCATTTTGAACAAATTAAACGAAAAAAAGGCATTCAATTTATAAAAAGCAGACAATCAAATCAAAGAAATTCCAATGTTTATAGTCATCCGTATGGTATCGAATAAACAGGGTGGCGCATCGAAAACGAAACAGACGCATTTACTTGCAGCTCAGTTTTTTTTTGAAAAACGCTCAGACCGTCGATTTTGTTTTCGAGGGGGACACAAGTTTGGCAATAAAACACGTTAGCACGTGCAGCCCCCTAGGCGGGGGTGTCACCACCCCCAAAATATTAAATGGAAAGGGGGGTCGAGTGATACCTTATTTTAGCCTTTAACCTTTAAAAATAAGGTATCGCTCGACCCCCCTTTCTATTTAAGATTTTCGAAGACGAAATCGACGGGTCTGAGCGTTTTTTAAAAAAAATGAGCTGCCAGTAAATACGTCTGTTTCGTTTTCGATGCGCCACCCTGTATAATACAGGATGTCCTTACAGATGGGAGTATCGGAGTTGTCCATATTATGTTAATTTACTGTATCTTCGAAATGCTTCCTAGGCTTCGCGAGTGCATGCAGATCGTTTTTCAAGATCCATCATGATTTATTTTTGTGCGTGAATTTAACATTCTGCTGTATTCATTCGGGAATGGCGGTCTATTCGAAAAGCCTACACTGATGCTTAGCTACGTC